GTGCAGCCCCTGGTCTGGTCACTCAGGGAACAGAAAACTACTCATCCAGTGACCAGTATATTTGCCCTCTACCAGACTCCTGTACCCCACTGGTCTGGGTCTGTCACAATACATACATGCACACACCTCGGAGGAGAACCTAAAAGAATTATGCTATTGAAAGGCATAATGTCTCTTAGATTCTAGGGGAGCATGGTGGGAAACACCCCTTTCTATACATGTGTAACTGCAATAGACAGTTATCCCCCACCTTGTTGTGCAGGCATATGGGACGTGACCCTGCCCACACTGTATCTAGCCATTCTCCTCTGGAGCTGCTAGAGCTACTGACAATGCCCCTGCCTACCTTCCCTCTAACACCTAGAGCACTGGGAACCAAATGGCAGCTAGACCCCTAACTCCACTGGGAATGCAATGAAACATTCAATCTTTAAGAAAAAGTCAGTGGGAGTTAGGGGCCTATGTGACATTTGTACCTTGGGCTCTTAAAAATAAAAATATATAAAATATGTCACTCCCATAAAATCTGGTTGTATTACTGATTAATATAAGTACTCAAAGCTGGCAAACGTTTCACTGAAATAATAATAAAATCTGGAGAAACTTCTAAGCAACTTTAAGAGCATCTGATGAAATAGACAAGAATGTAGTTTCTAGCCAAGGAAGGGAAAAAATTATTTATATGCAGACTTGGAGGCAAGATTTTGCCAATTGACTTTGCCAGGGATAAGAGCTGCTTTGAGTAGATTTAACAGGCTGACATTACTTACAGGCAACAATACACACAACTATTTGCAATATCCTTTATCATCGTACAGAATGTCCAGTCCTGAATTTTTTAACACACTTCATTGTAATACTACTTACAAAGGGTCTATTTACAATGGTGAAAGGACAAAAGCTGTTTTACTGAACATATAAACAAAGCAAATATTAAAAAATAATGCTCTTTTCTGGTGGGATTAAATTATATTTGTCAATTGAAAAAAAATGTACTATGTTGAGACTCAAAATGTGATTCTACACTAAAAAAAATATTCAGCTTATTCTTCAGAGCTGCTCCCTGGGTGTTTTCACAATCATATCTGCTTTCTTTAGTAATGTATATTTTTACTGCTTTTCACTCCTATCAGTCTAACAGAGCCAACAGAAAATAATTTCATCTGGACTCTATTTCTTCTTGCTATATCACAACAAAACTGTTTAAATTCCAAGCAGTTAAATTTGGGTGACCACAATGAAGACAATGGGATTGGCACTGAAGCAATTTTTGGCCAGCAAAATATTTCATTACTGATGGTGCAACATGACAAGGAAAGTTAACAGCTTGACCTTCAGATCCCACAATTTTGCCAGACTCATTATCTTAAAAAAATCTTTTTACTTATAAACTGAGCATATCTGGTATGAAAATCAGTGAGACACAACAAACATGCATCCTATTATGTTCTTTTAACTGTAATTGTTAAGCACAAAACTGCATTTAGACTATGCAAAGATCATTTTTGCTTGGTTTAGAGTTAAGTGAAAAAATTTTACATTTGGGCATCAACAGTTATTCACTTAAATCCAGATTTAGGTGTTTAAAACAGCCTGATTATCACTGAGAGTTGTGGTTATTTAACACCTCTTACAAAAATGCAGTTAGTAACTTAAATGTGGATTTAGCTGCCTAACTTTAGATGCCCATGTCTGAACCTTTTGGCCCATGTGATTTGACCAGTAGCCAGTAAGTTATTGGCACAAATGGTAATAGAATCCAGGAGCTCTGATTGCCATTCCCCAGCTCTAATTCTCAGGCAATACTTCTATATCATATCTATCCATATGGGGCAATTCAATTTTCTTTTTCCTTGTATTACTTAAGAATCGTGGTCAACTCAAAGGGATTAAATCAGTTCTGACACAAAAACAAGACAATGGGAGGCTCAGTGGAGTGAAAATTCATGGATTCATAGTGTGAAATCCTGATCCTATTAAAGTCAATGGGAGTTTTTCTCTTGAGTTCAATGGGGCCAGTATTTCACCCATAAGTTTTAAGGCCAGAAGGGACCATTATGATCAGCTCATCTGACCTCCAGGGTAATGTCAAAAATGGTGGTTGCTGGTAGGTTTAATTAAACTTAATAGAAGAAAATTACACAAAATATTATTTGCAGAGATTTGTAATGTATTTTGCTGTAAAGTAAAACAAAACAATTTTTCTTTTCCTTTCTTAACAAAGCCCAAACAGGCTACTTAAGATTAACCCCATTTGACTGAAATTAATAAATCAATTAATAAAATAAGATGCATTAAAACAACAACAAGAAGAACAACTTATTTTTAAATCTTTGCTACAACTCTAGAAATTTCTGAAGCAAAAGAAAAAAATTTAAAGTCGATAGTATTTACAGGTCAGAAGGGACCATCATGATCATCTAGTCTGACCTCCATGTACCCGTGACTAATTCAAATTACAATTTACTCAGGTATATGCTTTATATACTGTACAAGAAAATTCTACTACTTTGCTCTACAGTTTAAAGGTCTGAAAAAAGAGACTGCTGGCATTTCAGCAGAGTGCTATATACACTGGGCCTAATTCACCACTGTTTCACTCCAGTAAATTAATAGCGGTCCGGCAACATAAAACTGGACACAGTAGTGAATTGGACCCAAATCATACAAAGAAGCATCAGAGTAATTTGTAAGGAATCTGATTCACTAGGGATTTGCATGCTGAACAATGCACACTGTGTCTAACATATGTGGCACTGTTGATTTTTCTTTCCAATGCCAAAATGTGAAGAGAAGTGTTGTCCATTGCATTAGCATGCTGTAATGTAATATGTGATTCACCTGTTCAGGCCAATGATTCAAAGTAACAAATGTTCTTCTGCACACTGAATTTCCACCTTGTGTGAAAAAATAATTAGAAGGAAGATGACTTCCAGAGTTGCAGGATCTGAGCAACAAACCAAATCATATTTCTATAGTATGGAATGACACAATGAAAGTGGAAAGCACAATAAGGGCTCAATCCTAACACAGACAAGACCTCCCCTGAAATCAGTAAAGTCCTTTGGCCCTGAAGGAAGTTTTGCCTGGATAAAAGCATCAGAATCAGACCCTAGAAAAGTATTCAAAGTAAAATTCACATCTGTGCAGAGAGGCTTACCCACCACCTAAATCCAACTTTCATCCTCCCTGAATGTCTTATTGCTCATGTAACTCTCATAGCAAACATACAGTGTACAAAAAATTGAGACAACACAGCAATCTATGCATCATTAAGTACTGGTCTTATTTAAAAGTTAAAAGAATTTGAAAGAAGATAACTTATTAAAACAGTTATATATAAAAATGTACTCACCATTGCCGGAGCCTCTACAGTTGCCATTATTAGAATCCATAGGGAAATCTGGTATGGATTCGTAAAATATGTAAAGAAATGTTAGTATTTTTAATATTGGATTATTTCAATACAGCCACATTAAAATTGCTTAATTTTTCTCTAATATTTAGTGTATTAAAATGTAAGATCCTATTAATGAAAAAGAGGTTGCGATGTTTTAGAGTCCTCTCCTGTTCCTATTGAAGTCAGTATGAATTTTGTCTTTTAGCGGGCACCTAATGCTGAAGCAGACTCTACATTATTTATAATTCACAATGGAAACTGTCGCATTTCCTTTGGTGACAGAGTAGCAGGATCTATACAAGAATGGAAATACGTGTCAATTCAGACATGGGTTTGGGGCAATTCTGAAATGTACATATACTGCTTCTCTACTCAGTTGGATGCCTGAGGACAATTCAACTTTGATTTCCTCAGTAACAAAAAACAAACCAATCACAATCATGTCACTGAAGGGAAAGCCAAAATAAGCGTTTCAGTTTTCCCCCCTTAAAAATTTTCTGATTATTTTGTGAGAGAGATAAGGAATAGGGGTAGGGGGGAGTGCATGATGCCCAATTTCCAAAGAACTGCATTTGGGGGCATTCTAAATTGAGAATATGTGCCAAATTAATATTCTTATTTTCAAATCTATTATTTTTAAATAACACCAAAGTTTACATGATTTATATGCATGTCTTGTTAATAAAAATATATTAGCTGTTGCATGTTATTCTCTACAACGAAGAAAAACTGAAGGAATATATATATATATATATATATATATATACACATACACAGCAACATAGACAGACACCCAACCTTGCAATTGGATCAATGTGGTTTTGCTTGCACAGAGCCCCATGGAAGTTAATGAGGCTCAGTATGGGTGCAAGGGTCCAATTACATGAATTCAACTGCAATGTCAGGGCCATAAGTTTTATTTACAAATGACATATGTGCATGTTTGTGTGCACACATGCATGTGCCTAAATATGGATTTAGAAGCCTAACTTTAGGCACCCATTTTTTAAAAAGTCTTGGCTGTATGTATGTATATATCTATCTATCTAATTTCCTTAATGCATATTTATACCTTATACAGCATGCAATATACTTTACATAGGTGCATAAAAGACATGCAGGATGAATGTAGATTTTGAAATATCACTGGTTTATTTCACTAAAATAGTAAATAAACTTGGCAAACCTGAGACTTCAGCATCAAACATCTGTATCAGTGTAGTATGCATAAGGGTACAGGAAATGTCTTAGCATTCCAGGGCAGAATCCACTCCTTGACAATGGCCAAAAACGGTTTGCCGCATACAGAAGTACTGAAACCCCATAATGCATTTAACTTTACAGTATTGCATTAGGGAAGAAATTTCTTCCTGACGTTAGCTTATTCTTCAACTACAACTTATGCTGCGAAGCATACTACTTGTCATTTTTATCCTAACCAGTAAAATTTCAGCTACTATTCTTATTCGTGTTATCTGAGACTTTTCTTGCTAAGCTGTTCACTTCAAATAGCATCTATAGGTGTGAACTCTACAAATCAATTATACATGGCTTTTTAAAAAGTGTTTCCTATTATCCAATTTAAATGTGTCCTTTTAATTTTATCAAGTATTTTCTTAACCTTTTATTATAGGACAGGATAAAAGGTATAATTCATATGGCCTTCTTCAAGCCTGCTATTTTCTTATATAGAGCTATCATATTTCCTCTTATTTTTCATCTTTCCATACTCCAGTACATAGTCTGGGACCTAGCTGTGTTTCCTCATTCAGTA